CTAACATATCCTAAATTAGGGTTTTCTAAACCCTAATTAGGGTTTCCAACCCAATAGCGTGCTAGTTAGATCCAAAAGTTCAATTTTTAGGTTAATTAGGGTTTCACTAGGCTGGGCACCACCCACTGCCACCTCGGGCAGTGGTGGTCGACGACGGCCACGGCGGCAGCCACCACCTCGTGGCGGTGGTGGTGGTTTTCGAGTCAAAATCCGACAACAAGAAACCAATTCATTATTTTATGCAGAAAGGCTCACATTCACGCATAAATGCATGCACACCACCACTCAGCATGGCGGTTGGTGGCGGCAGGAACACAACCTCCCGGTTGGTGGGCTTCTTCTTCAGTTTCTAGACCAGTAACAACTACACAACAAGTTACAACTGAAATACACACACATACATCGCATTACAACACCAAAATACACACCCGATTGCGAAACTCGAACACAACCTCCCTTCACCGTGGCATGCGGCAGGCATAGTGATTGGTAGCAACTCACGGCGACGGCGGCAAGGGCACGATTACAGATGGAGATGAAGGAGAGAAGAGGTGGGTGACTCCCACTGGAAACAACAACAATAACACCCATATACTACTCTTCCGATTGCTTATTGCCGCGACGCCCCTAAAGGCAGCCTTCGTCTTCCACGGTGGTGAAAGCAGCGGGGAAATGGAGGTCGCCTCCACCAGAAAACGGCATCACCAGCTCCGGTTCCTAGAGTTTTTGACTTTCCTGACGTTGCATCTTCGACCACGACTTCGCCGACAAGAGGAGAGGCGATCATTCAAGAAACAGCGTGGAGGTGGCGGCTGAGAGGACTCCGAAAAAGGTGGTGGCGGCTAAAGAATGCGGCTAGGGTTAGGGTTCATGTATGCGACGAGGTGAAAGAAATGGCTGTCTTAAATCCCGTCTTCCTTTAAACTTCAATCTATTGACAAATTCGGCCTCTCCTTTTCTAATCATAACAATCTAAATCCATATTTTACTCTTTAGCCCTCAGCATTTCTAAATCCTTTCAATTTAAGTCCAATATTTACCAAACACCCCTGGCTTCTGAAAATTTTTACAAACCAATCCGGAAATTGCACTTAACCCCCAATATTCCAAAATTATGACCTTTAACTCCCGAAGCCAACACCCTGCTAAATTATTATGGGTTTTAGGGTTACTGTAAAATAATATAAAATATAAATTTACATCTTGGGGTTCTGGGTTTATTATTTAATTACTTAATTTCAAATGGAATGTTACATCAAGCATCTTTTGGAGGTATAAAGTCTAAAACTTGATGAGTATTTTGTTTAGATCTTGTTAGATTTGAGTTTGTGTTCATTTTGGTCCCATAAGCTTGGTGTTCATGAATATGGGTTACTCTACCAGAAGAGTTGTCCTTTCAGACGTTTTTAGGTGTTAGGAATCAGAAAACTATGATCTTGGTGCTTTTATCCCTTCCATGCAAGAGTTATGATGTGTTAAGGGATTATTAAGTTAGGATGTTAGTTTTTGGACCTTGTCTAGCCATGGAAAGTCATAAAGGTGGAAACTTTGTGACTTAGAATGATCTTATGGGTCGAGATCTGAGTTTGGACGAGAGGTCTTTAAGGAATAAGCTCTTAATATGAAGGTTTGGATTCAGACAGAGTACATTAGGCATACTAATGGGTACGTTGCGCGCACTGGGTTAGAGTCCTGTGGTTTTGGATTTGTTGTGACTACACCAACATAGTAGCTGAGTACACGGGGCGTACTCAGCCAACTTGACCTTACCTTAAATGTTTGACTTGTTGAATTTGACCTTTGACGTGGGGTTTGACCAAGTTTGACTTAGGGCCATTTTTGGGTATTTTGAGCTATAATTTGAGTTTAGATCACTATTTTGTTGTATAGGTGACCTGTAGAGTTGACATTTGGAGCAACGTTCTTTTTTACTATCTTTTCAGACAGTGAGGTGATTTTCCTCATTGTACTCATGGGTCGAAGGAACCAATGCCGACCCATTCGGTTATGTATCCTGGTATATAGGATGTTACAATGTTGTAGTGATCTGTTAGACTTATATGATTATATGTTTGTTGGTTATATGATTATCTGTTGCATATATTGACATAGTGTGGATGGGTTGAGGCAATGTTGATCTGTGCGGAAGCCAACAAACCCGGGAGCAAGCCAAACTTAAGTTGTGGGCCAAAAAGGCAAGCCAAACTTATGTTGTGGGCTCGAGAGAAATCCAGACATGATCTGTGTGCTAGAAAGGCATGCTAGACTCATGTTGTGGGCTCAGGGGTAATCCAGCCCGATTGCTATCATCCCAGTATGCATGCTGTTCTATGTTTGTGTGATGGTATTTTAGGAAACTCACTAAGATTTGGTTTACAGTTTAAGTGTTATGTTTCAGGTACTTCAGATGATCGGGGGTAAGCAAAGGCTTGATCGTACACCTCCTTTGGCGACATATTTTGGAAATATTATGATACATTGATTTTGGGATATTTGTACTTGACATTGGTTTCTTATGACTTGGGTTTTTGTTGGAAACAATGATTCTACTTTAATTAAAATGGAAAAATTTTATTGGAATTTTTGGGATGTTACAAGTTGGTATCAGAGCCCTGGTTCGAGAAAATTGGATAAGCACTCGTGTGAATCCAGACTCAAACTAAGGATCTGTAAGGTTTTCGAAACTAATTTCCTATAATTTTCACAAAGTTGTTTTTACGGGTAGCCAGAGAAGGAGGAGATGTGTATGTTCATCCGGAGCAAGAAAATGTACTCTAAGATACCCACATTGTTACTTTTTATGATGTTTATGATAGAACTGCATGCTAGTTTGGAGGCTAAGGATCTTCAGGAATTACATGTTAGAATTGACTTAGTTATGATGCCTGATAGCCTAGGAGAATCTCTTATATGCTAGATGGAATTGACATAATTACTGTAGTTTCTTAGTGTGTGCATCATATTTGCACATAGCTAAGATTATATAGCCTGAGAATGTTTGAATTAGCCTTATTTCCTATTACTTTTTTGGTTATGGGCTTAGGTTAGAATCAAGTATTCGATTTTCTATGGAATCCAGCGTTATCTATGATTATCATACACGAACGGCTAAAAGGTTGGTGGAAGTTTCATGAGTAAGTATGTGATAAAGTCGACCATATGAGGAATGACTAGCCACTCTCGAGAGAGTGAGTATAGGATGTATGCATATCCTAGTTTTCGGTTTATTTTCGGGTAGTTTGTGATTATCCTTTGAGATTAATACGGGTAGGTATGGAAGGTAGTTTGGGCCCATACTATTGAAAGCACAGGACCCGTACGCGTAGCAAGGAAGTCACAAACCTCGATAGTTTAGTCTCTTGGTGATGATTATAATAGTATGAATTATGGCATTTCTGATATGTATTTTGGTTCATTTACAGTATGGTGTTCACGAGAGGATCTGGTTCTAGAGCTGGTGGCCAGGATAGGCTGGGATTGTCAAATGATGACATCCGTGAGTTGATCGCTACTAAGGTAGTTGCTGCTATCCGAGTGCCATCCCCAAGGTCTTTGTGTCTATTATGACCGCGATGATTGAGTTGTTCGATGAGCGATACGCCGTTGTGTTCGAGGCTGCTGCTACTGCAACTACCATATCTATTGCTAATGTGGGGGTTCAGGGTAGAGGATCATTCCAATATTTGGACTTCAGCAACATGAAGCCCCCAGGGTTTAATGGGGTGAAGGATCCAATTGTAGCTATGAGATGGATTTTTGATGTGGAAGGTTGTTTCTTCACTTGTTCCTGTCCGGAGGACTGGAAGGTCAAGTGCGCCTTGTACCTTTTTCGCTTGGGCATGAAGGACTGGTTGAACTTGGTGACCAATTCCTATAATACTGAGCAAAGGACTGCTCTTAGTTGGGAGCAGTCCTCAGAGATGTTTCACACTAGGTATGTTCCCCTGGTGGAGAGGGAGAGGTTGGCTCAAGAGTATTTGGATTTGAGGCAGACGACGGAGTCGGGACGGAGATCACCAAGATGTTTAATGAGAGGGCTCTATTCTATCCTGAGTTTTCGGCTTCGATGCAGGCCCAGATGACGTGATACTTGAGCATGCTCACGACTGATATTCGACAGTTTGTGTCTACCCAACATTAGGAGATTTGTTGTCGAGAAGCTTTGAGGGTAGACAATTGATGATATAGGTAGCAGAGCTGAAAGTATGAGTCCAAAGAGTAGCTGGGACATTAGCATTAAACATCATGGCAAGGCCCGTCTCAGCGATATGTCGATGTTTACGCTTAACCCTTCCATTTTGTTGAGGAGTGTAAGGGCAAGATAATTGATGGTGCGTGCCATTTTTTGATAATAGGTTACGAAGTTGTTCATTTGTAAATTCTATTCCACCATCTGATTGGAACTCTTTAATATTACATGAAAATTGGGTTTGAACGAGAGCAACAAAGTTCTCAAAGACATTGTAAAAATCCAACTTAGCTTTCAATGGATAAACCCATGTGAACCTAGAATAATCATCAACAAAAATAGCATAATATCGAAAACCATATGTAGACATCACAGGAGAAGGTCCCCACAAATCACAATGAATCAAATCCAAGGCATGTAAAGCAGATTTAAGATTAAGTGCAAAAGGTAAACATTTGCTTTTTGACAATTGACATGAAGAACATAATGTTGGATTTGGTAAAATAGAATTAATGGATAAGCAACCCGACTTGTTAAAAAGTATGTAGAACAGTGGCAAGAGGGAGAGGAGAATAAACAGGGGAGTTGCCGAACATGATGAAGATACGAGAAGAAAATGATACGGCCAAGAGAGCTAGTGTCACACCCCCAGCCGACGGCGGAATCGCCGGGCGAGTGACGAAAATGGAATATTAGAAACATAGCATATATCAAATATTAAACAACCACTTAAAGTTTTACATCACATACGACATAATTATATCTTACTTTGTTACATGTTTCATGACAAATCTTCAACGATTCAAAAAGAGGACATATAACAAAAACAAAAGACGATTATTCCATACTCCTCGCGTGGATTTCTTGCCTTACTTTCCTGAGAATACATGTTAAAATACGTCAACAATAATGTTGGTGAGTCCTACAGGTTTTGACTCCATATATTCTTAAAATAACAAAAGATTTTTATAAAAAGAATTTAATATAGAGATAGAAACCTTTACCCTTTTCAAAACATAATTTGACAATTTCTCACCAAGAAATGATTATTTTACTGTTGCATAGGTTGAACCAACGTAGTAGTAAATGAGTCTCTATCATATTATCGGTGGTCGTTTTTATTGATTTAAGAACGAAAGGAATATTAGATGATGTCATAACCGAACTCTTGACACCAAACTTTATTATTGCACCGACACCATGATAGGGCGCGTGTGCTAAAGTCATTCACCCCGTTGTAACACGGGGTAATGTTCGATAATGCTATCGTCAGCGCCAAAATTCATCTCGTCAGACGTAGTTGTAGCTAGCAACTCCAGACGGGCGGTCGTACCGTATAAGATCAATGTTATGACACTTATACCTAGCGTTAGTCGTTCCCTCGAGGATTAACGGTTATTTAACAGAAGGTCTCTACTAAGTATTGTGAACTTAGCCTTCGCGAAACCGGATATGAATACTCGAACGGATTGGGTTCGGTATTCGGAATAGGTATGATGAACCTATTTGGAATGGGTATAATAAACCCTCAAAGAATAGGTATAATGAACCTATGCGGAATGAGTATGATAAACCCACAAAGAATATGTATAATGAACCTATGCGGAATGGGTATAATAAACCCACAAACAATAGGTATAATAAACCTATGTTGTTCATTCTAGATTCACTAGAAACGTAAAGTTATTCGCCATTTAAGAAAACAATACTCGGAATTCTTAAAACTACAAGAATTTATTATTCCAGATACGAATTTGATATCGTGTTAACATAATAGTTAATTTTTGAATTTATCCAAGTTTGGATCGACCGAGAACCTACATTCCCCATATTTTATATAACTCATGCGAGGTTATTGTTAATACGTTCAAATTTTGGAATAATGATAAAGTCTTTAAATGTAATACTCGATAAGTATTTATTTCTAACGACCTTTATACCGAACTTTTATGATGTAATCAAACCACATTAACCTTTAACATACTAGGGTTAACTCCGTAATTTACTAAAACTGATGTCTATATATAATTATTCACTTAAGTTTATAATCATATTAAGTTTAACATGATTATTGTTTTAATACGATCCAAAGTCCTTAATAGTTATTACACATATTAGAAATTCTAATGTATTCTAATGTATTAGTATAATATAACTATGACCATTTAATCCTCCAGGTGTATTTTTAAGTTTATTTCCTTTTTATATATAAACTTTTGCATAAGTATTTATATCGCTTTAGTTATCATAAATATTCAGAAAAAGCTACACGGAATATTTATATATATGTATTTACATTTCCTGCACTTGTTTATAACCGTGGTTTCAAAACTCAATGCCATATTAATTCGTCAACTCTCTTCATACATACGTATTTATACACCATCTATAATAATTTGTAGAATCCAAAATCGTTTGTTTTAAATCCATTTTGGTTATCAAATATTGATCAATAAAACATGTATTCTCCCCCAAACAATGAAATCAGAAATGAGGGGCCATAGAACTCACTTTGGTTTTGGGTTTTGAGAGGTGGAAGTGTCGGGAAGCTCCTGTTCTAAGCGGGATTTGGAACAGGAATCTTGGAGTCGACCTAAACATCACATGGCCGAAAAATAATGGTATCAGGAACTATACACACCTGACTAGGACCAAATCCGCCACCAGGATCGTCCCGTTAGAACTGTTCAGGCCACCGGCCACCGTGGCAGGCGCCTACTGTTCACGGTGGTTGCTGGACGGATTTTGATCAGAGAAGGTAAGGAATTTACCTGAGATCGATGGAGGAGCAAGGAAAAGATGAGTGGATGTTGTTTGATAGTCGAACAAATGAAGGCAGGAGGGAAAAATGGAAGTAGTCGCTGCTTCTTTTTCTCTGGTAAGCTGCGCCTACAGGCCTGTTTATGGTCAGGGGTTTGCTTCAACTGGAATCGGTGGTGATCAGGGAGCTTTTGGGTTGGTTTGCCATTGGAGAAAGAGAAGGTAGAAGGAACTGGGTTTGAGATGGGGAAAACAACTCTAATAGCTGTTGAATCTCTTCTCTGTTTATTGGAGAAGACACGGAAGTAAGAGGCATGGGCAGGTGATGGAGAATGAGTGGGGCCTTCAAATAGGAATGAGATATTATGAAGCTTCTCTACATCTCTTTTACAGCTGTGGATTTTGGCAGAGATTGAATTGTACAATCGAGATTCATGAAGGATATGCACATGTGCTGGATTGTGTGTGTAGTTTAGGGCAATCGTGAGAGGGAAGGAAGATGAGTGAGGTGGTGGATGAGAAACTGTATCGTCCTTGAGCAGAGGCGGAACACGACCACTAGTATTAGGGGCCGAAGCCCAAAGTTCAAAACAAAATTATATAGCCATATTTATATAGCTATAAATCGGTTTTCTAACCATTATCAACTAGGTTTATGAAAATTTCGGTTTGATAAAAATGCCTTTAGCACATTATATTTTTTGAAATCATCTTTATTTTGTGATTTCACCCTCCCCAAAAATATGTTATTATTAATTATTTATTCATGTCTCCTAAAACCTATAATTAGATATTAAACAATAAAGCAACTAAGCAAGTATACATACAAAAATATATAGAATAACGAAAGGTCATGAAAAGAGTGCATTAGGTAAAAAGTTAAATTTAATGTATCTTCTTAGGTAAAAAGTTAAATTTAATGTATCTTCAGAAAAGTCCAACGTGCAAGATTCCACTGTATATTGTACCCTTTTTGTAACAGTATGGCAAGAAAGGATAAAACTCAATACCCTAATTCCCTAAAGCACTTTAACAAAGAAGAAACAAGATCTAGAGAACGCCTTGTGTGGACTTACATGTAAGCAAGATGTGGAGGCCTGTGAACCAAAGCCGGTAGGTGCTCAATCAATTAGTCAGAGAGGATGAGATCTTGACCAGGGAGATCGTTCAACGACTCATGAAGATAATGATACCGGAGAAAATGCACGGGAAAGGATGGGAGTGAAAGGAGCGGCGCCGACGTATGATGGTCAAGGGTTAAGGTTTTCAGTTTTATTAGATTGTTTAGTTTCTTTTCTTCTCTTAAGGTTATTAAAATAGATAGTACTTTAAATTTTTATTTTTGGTAGTAGCGTTTCCTACAAATCACAGAATTATATGTATTCTGAAAAATTATAGTTATGGCAGATTGTTATTTCAGTTTTCCACATTACTTATGAACAATTTCAGTATACAAATAGATATTAAAGGTTAAAAAAGCAGAGGGCATGGCCTCCCCTGGTCCCTAAAAGCATCCGCCACTGTCCTTGAGATATTTGATTGGGTTTCTTCACATGGTTCATTGTACTAATGCAGATTATAGAAGATATTTAAGTACTTGACATAGTTCTCATAGATATTGAGCACATGTGGTATTTGTGAGCTTGTAGTTGATAGAGAGATGAGAGAGATAGAGAGGGAAGAGGGTGACGAATTGTAGTTGTACTAGGGGATCATCTTCCTGATTTTTAAGACTTATAATATTGGTGTGGGCCATATAATCCAATGGAATTTAATAAGGATTTGCTCCATTCTTGTGCAAGATATTTGTATGCGTATTTTTATATTGTGTGTGATAGCCATCGAAAAGAGGGGTGTGAGTGGGTATAATCGGCTATATCAATTTCTTGTACTAATTCATGTGGAATAACTTCATGTCTTATTAGTTTTATTATATATATATATATATATATATATATATATATATATATATATATATATATACCTGAGCATAAGTTTATGTCACTTGATATTAAGTATATATACGTATAATATATATATATATATATATATATATATATGTATATGTATATGTATTATTTTATGATCTATATAAATGTATAAGTATGGAATTTAGGCATTTTAGTATGTTAGCCAAAGATTTACCTTATATGTTTAATATTGGACATAGTAAATCATATATAGCATACATATATATTTATATATACCATGTTCGTATTACGTTAATTTCACGCACCCATTGCTACACATCGCATAAATTTATTATTATTATGCTTATATTCGATTAACTGTTATAATATCTTTTAAACATGTTGAGTACATAATGACGAAGCATAAATTCGGCTTGGTTCTAGTAGCGTCACACGAATTTACCGACCACCTTTGATCTGAATTTGACGGTTGTTACAATTAGGCTGATACCGCATAAGGGTTTTAGAATCAATCGCCTTAAAAAGGTGAGCCGTATATTAATCTATATATTAAGAGATTTGCAACAAACTAATACTAAAACACAGGAAATATACTTAGATAAGGATATATACAAATATAAAATAAAACTAGTCCTATTAGACCTATTATATATATATATATATATATATATATATATATATATATATATATATATATATATATATAATATATATATATATATATATATTGTATATTTAAAACTTTAGTATGTTTGGTCTTATGATTTACAAGCTTTTATATTAACAATTATTGAATTACTAAAGTTTAAAGTCTTAAACTTATATTGGCATGTTAAATATTCCTCCACTGCTTTAACTTATAAACACATATTAGAAATTAATAAAATCTTTTTGGAATGAATTTTCAATCTCAACCATTAGAAAACGTTTATTCATAAAATCCCCCATTGAAATTTCACAATGTTCTAGAAGTAGTCATTAAAAAAACTCTCATACATGTTGGTATATATCATTACCAACATGTACTAACAAAATTTGTTGGTAGCCAAACAAATTAGTACCAACTATATTTGGTATGGTAGTGGTAGAATTTTTTTTTGTACCAACTATAATTGGTACGGTACACTGTTTAATAGAAAAATAAATTGTTACCTACTAATCCAACCCTAGATGAAATAGATGAATTTGTGATATATTATTTACCATAATAATGAATTTTACAAATGATCCATTATATGTCACACTTTTAACCACTATTAAAATGGTTATTCAATACACTCATTAACTACAAACTTTCAACCACTATTAGAATACTTATTAAATATACTTATAAATAGTTATTAGTCTTGGTTTATATACAGACAAAGGTAGTTATTATTCATGTTTTTTTATATACTAGTCGAATTTTCGTGCGTTGCGCGTGAATATAATTATTTAATTAAAATAATAACATTTAGCAAATTGTGATTTAATATTTATACATGAAAAACCAATGTCAGTAGCAAAACAAACTTTATAGTTAACATATTAGTTTTCTTAATTGTAATAAATTTATATCGTTAGTTATTTCCACTATTAATTCATAATTTTATAGATCGTTTTATGTTGTGTAAATTATATATCAAACATATATTGATTTCTATACATAATAAATGCAAAGTAATATGAAAAAATTAATACTACAACTTTTGATGATTTTATATAACTTTTAAGTTGTGAAAATTATATATAAAACGTATGTCGATTTGTATATAAAACAAATAACAAATAGTATGGAAAAAGACTATAACTTTTAATAAAATTAAAACACTACAACATCTATTATAACATTTACATCAAACAAAACTTATTAAACACTTATAAATCATTCAAAATGAATATTCAGAAATCAACATAGATTTGATATATAGAGACATTGTTATAAAAAATTAAATGTTGAAATAACCATTGATGCTACAAAACTTATTTTTTTTCAACTCTTTCATTTTAAATCAAAAATGTTTTCAAAGATATGAGTTTTTAATCAAAACTTACTTATATACTACTAATATATCTACAATGTGTACAATAAATAAGTGGAAAATAAAAAGGTATTTCACATTAATAACCATAAGTCTAAAAAACTTTTGAATGTAGTAGAAAATATAGAGGCATTGCTAATTACATTAAATTTAAAATCATAATTACATTTAAATTCAAAAACTATAAAGTTGTAATGGCAGTTTTAAACTCTTGAGTTGTGCCCATTAGTATGTAGTAGAAAATATAGAGGCATTGCTAATTACATTAAATTTAAAATCATAATTACATTTAAATTCAAAAACTATAAAGTTGTAGTGGCAGTTTTAAACTCTTGAGTTGTGCCCATTAGTATAATATAAATATTAACAGTTATATATTATAAAAATAATATTATAAGCATTTATCATTGAAATAATTAGTTTTATATTAAGTTGTAACTAATATTATAATAATTTTAAGTATACGATAAGAAAGATATAAAAAGTTGTGTTTGAATAAAATTGAATTAAGTTTTTGATTTAAAATTATTTTAAACTATAGGTATTTTTAACTAATTTATAAATAACTTATATGAATATTTTGTACTTCCTATATTATTATTATCATTATTGTAATTATTATTATTATCATCATTATCATTATTATTATTATTATTATTATTATTATTTCAAATAAGAATAATTTTTTGATATAATATAATTTATTATTTAGTTTTACATTATTTTAAACAATTATTATATTTTACTTGATTAAAAACTAATTATTGAAAAGTTTTCATTAATATATTTAAAAAAAGTACAGAATTATTTTTGTCCTTAAAGCTATGAAATATTGGAAGAGAATGGAAGGTCCAAATAAAATGGTGATTTGAATTTCAAAACTATAGTAATCGTTATGTATTGCAACCAATCTTAAAAAAAATATATGTTAAGAGTGGGTTAGAGGAGAAGGAGCGTTACACTTGAGGTATATTTTTATCACTTATATTTTCTTATGAAAATATTAATATTTTATTTATTTTACTTTTTCTTTATGATAAAGAATGAATATGGAAAAAGGAAATTGACTAATGTAATAAGATAATAATTTATTTTTATTACTATAAAAACACTTACAATGGATACTTCCATATAAGTTTTGGTAGAACATAAAGAATTCATTTTTATAACACATATAATCATTGTCTTTCAACAATAAGATCATATCATATCATATCATACATCATACATACTTATAAATCTAGCATTTTTTCTTGAATCTCATGCATTTGAAACCCCATTTTTTAACTTCCTCAATCCACATTCATTTGAAACCCCATTTTGTAACTAATGCAACTTAAAAGTTTTCTTAATTATGATTTAACACTCAAAAGTTTTATAACTTATATTATGTTTAATTAGCATTTTGTGAAAAGTTTACTATAAAAAGGCCAATCTTTTGGGAAGACATGCATACAAATCATATATAAATTTCAGAAAAAAAACAAATTTAAAGTTTTTTGTGCTGGGTTGAGGTCTTATGACCACTTTTGGAGATATTCTATTATATTAGAGCTTTTAATTTGTAAGTTTGTTATACTAATTCTGTCACACCCCAAAACCGGAACGGCGGAAACGTTTTGGGGTGGAGGACGTCATGTACAGTATCATAACAATGCATAATAGTAAAAGACAAGCAACAACATCCATTGCATTAATATAATAATTTTTAATACAAACGTGTTCTGTATAGTTTGTAAGACACCAAAATAAATTATCAAAATAAAAGATGAGTCTTGTATATGCTCCATCTTCTCAAAAGCTTCATCGGTACCTGTCTACTGATGACCTGAGAATACAAGTTATTTTGAAAGAGTTTATCAGCATAACGCTGGTGAGTTCATAAGTATTTAGTGTCATTGCTTGTATAAAAATGTTTGTAACAACGTAGTGTAAATGTTAGTAGCTATTTGTAAATGTTTGTAAATGGTTGTACTCCCTAGAAAATCCTATATTCTCTAGTGAAATGTAGTCTTCTACCAAGACCCAACTGTTTGTATGTTTGTTCTTTTGTAAATGTAAGAGTTTTCCCCAATAAAACTATCATTATGAAAAATATAGTTTAGGACCTCACCAATGCGAGATGAATACAAAGTAAATGTAATAAGGGGAAATAATGTTCTACCCCAGCAGTATCACTGCCGGCTATATGTGATGAAAATGCAGACTCCAGGTAGTATTAAATGTACAATACACCTCGGGGAATCCGTTTGCCTTTAATTCTTAGTTAGATAATTAAAGGTTTGAATGTGAACTCGTATGTAACCATGCTGATCGACGGCTGAATAACTGATGACCCTCCAGTGTCATATGTAGTGAGGTAACATTCTGTCACCCCTTGGCCTTATAGGCTGGGACTGTAGCTAGCAGTCGGGGTGTGGGAGTGTTTGTCCCGTATAGATCTATACACACAATGCCCGCTCTCCCTCCAGGAGACTCTGGTTACAAGGTGATACAACAATGCAGTGTCGTATCGAGAAGTAGTATGTCACATTCTGTTTATAGTATTCAAAAGTTTGTATAGTATGTCATAGTGTAGTGATGTTTTCTCTTTACTAGTATATAGTATATTCCCTTGTATATTGTATAGTATGTTTTGTTTCTCAATGTAGTACTTATGTAGTGACTCGTAACTGTACTGACTCTTGTATGTATCGTTGTAATAGTAGTAGTGAGTAGTAAACTCTTAACTATACCTATTATAGTTAAATAGTAATGTTGTTTGCATGCCTTCGTTACAGAAAGGTACTGAACTGAAGTGAAAGCTTTTATATCCAACACATATATATATATGATATATAACTAAGACTTCAACGACCTTCGTACAAATAACAGGATACCCTAAGTCCACAACTAAACAAGGAACAGGAAATAAGATGAGCTATCAGTCCTAAGTCCTTCAAGTCTTACTTATATAAATATATTGGTGTAGATATGGGTTTGAAAATAACGTAAGTTTAAAAGAGTTTGGAAACAGTTTTAGCATTTGAAAGAGTTTAATAAAAGGTTTTGAAGTGCTTGAAATCCATAAGTTTGATAGCAATTTGAAAGTAATAGCAAATCTTTCTGTTTGTTCTAGTTATTAATCACATGTGATTAAAGCAATAACTAGAATGTTTCAACTTGTATTCCCCCCCCATAAAAGCATTTAAAATCATTTCAAAGGTTGATTAAGGGGTATGAACTCACCTGTAGTGAGTGGTCGGGATGAACGGATGGTATAGGATGCTAAGTGTCAAGTGAAGACTTGAACACACACACGGATCCTATTAACATATAAAGACACATATATGAACATAATTAGTCATTTAACAACTAATTAACCAAGTTAAGACACCCTAGGACATGGAAAACACTTTGATTCAAGTGCTAGGATTACCAAGGGTTGCATCTAAGGGTTGTAAAGCCACTTAAGGGAGTTTTCGGTCCAAGTGG